AAAGTGCCCACAAATAAGGAGGATGGGGACCAGTGGCTGCCTGGGGGGGACAATCCGGGATGGATGGTGAGGTTCCAGGGAAAGGGAGGGGCAGTAAAAAAGCCCCCTCGCTCCCGCCTCCAGCTTCTCCATCCTCTCGCCTCCGTTCATTGCACTTTTTTTGGTGTTCTTGGGGGTTAATGTGTCACAGAAGTGCCACCTCCTGCCCCCCCGAGACCCCCTGCGCTGCTGCCCCGGGGGGTCCCGGGTGGTGACACCCCCAAATTCAGTCAGAAGACGGAAACACAACCTTTTCTGTTTCAATTCTGTTCCATCCCCGTTTCTGAATCACTTTTGCTGCCACAACCATCAGGAGCTTTTTCTTCCAAAGTAATGCCCCCCCCTTCCCCTCCTCCCATCCAGGCTCATCCCGGTGGCTCCTGCCCTAGAGGGAAGGGTCAGTTCTCGGCTCCAGCCCCGCGTTTTGGGTCAAAATTGGCTTGTTTTGGTTTGTTTTCTTTCCGTGTGGGATGGGGTTTTCTTCCCATGGAGCTCCCGCAAGGTGAAGACTTATGAGTCCAGGCTGATTTAAACGTGACTGCTCAGGAAAGAGTTGGGGTTTGCAGAGGGAAAACAATCCCCAGTCACCCTTGGGGACATGGAACCAGGTCCTGTGGGTGTCAGGAAACTGATCCCAACCTCATGCTTCATGGCACAGCACCAAGGACACCCCAGGCCCTGGGTTTTTGGCCAGATCTTGGGTTGATTTCAGCAGCTCCAGCAACAAGTCACATCCCAAATCCCACCACAAGCTTCCCAAAAGCCAAGCATATCTTATTTATATAATCTATCTTATTTAACTGAAAATATTCATGTTTAATAGCCTAATCAGAGTTTAATGTTATTTGTGGTCGTGTCTCCCACCAGGCAGGAGTTTTATGGCTGCTCCGGGGGCATCACAGGACACATGAGGAGGGAGCACCTTTTTATTTTTGGGAATCAGCTTGTGAGCTGTTGGCAAAGGATGAGACCTGATGCTCCCCCCTCACAGCATCACTCATCTTTATGGGGTGCTTAGGAGGTGGCAGCAATCCCTGCTGACAGCTGCTGTCACTGTGACAAAAGACCTGGGTTCCAGTTTGAAACCACTGGGCTCAGAAGGCAAAAGAAAGAGGCAGGGAAGAAGGTTGCCCATTTTTTTAGGTGGGAGCAATGATGTGGGTGCAGGCAGGGAGGCAGCTCTGGGTGTTGCCTTCCCTTTTCTGTGCCTCAGTTTTCTCCTCCAACCATATCACCTCTGTGATCCTGGGGTGTGGGGAGCAGCATCCCTTTGCCATGAGGCTGATGGAGGAGGAAAGCTCTGCAGAACAAGGGGTCTGCAGCACTAATGTGTCACCTGGGGGAGAAGTAAAGTTCCTGCAACCCCAACAGAGATAGTTTCATAGAATAACGGAATCCCAGACTGGTTTGGGTGGGAAGGGACCTTAAAGCTCACCCAGTCCCAGCCCCCTGCCATGGGCAGGGACACGTCCCACCAGACCAGGTTGCTCCAAGACCCATCCAACCTGCCCTTCAACACTTCCAGGGATGGGGCAGCCACAGCTGCTCTGGGAAACCTGGTCCAGGGTCTCACCACCCTCACAGCAAAGAATTTCTCCCTCAGATCTCATCTCAATTTCCCCTCTTGCAGCTTGAAACTGTTCCCCCTCATCCCATCTCTCCCTGACCTTGACAAAAGTCCCTCCCCAGCTTTCCTGTAGCCCCTTCAGGTCCTGGAAGGTGCTCTAAGGTCTCCCTGGAGCCTTCTCTTCTCCAGGCTGAACAACCTCAACTCTCTCAGCCTGTCTCCAGAGCAGAGCTGCTCCAGCCCTCACATCAACTCCATGGCCTCCTCTGGACTGGCTTCAACAGATCTGTGTCCTTCTAGAGTTGGGGGCCCCAGAGTTGGAGACTGCAGAGACTGCAGAGAGTCTCACCAGTGGAGTAGAGGGGAACAATTCCCTCCCTGGCCCTGCTGGTCATGCTGCTGGGGATGCAGCCCAGGACACGGTTGGCTGAGACAAGGGGCAGGGTAAGGTGAACATGTTGAAGAAAGCATTCAAGAATTTCCTGAAGGTAAAAAGAAGGGTTTTTTTCTTTTTTCCCCCCCATAGGTCCTACACAGTTTCTGGGCCCCTCACATCCCTCGTGTCACCTGGGCCAGGATGCCAAGCACCCTGTGGAGCAGCCTGCCCATGGTGCTGGGGCTGCTGCTCTGGCAGCCCGTGGGCGCCAGCGGCCCGTGCTGGGAGAGCAGCAGATGCCAGGACCTCAGCAGCGAGGCCGGACTTCTGGTAAGTGTGGGGACGGGGACAGCCCTCTGGTTGCTCCTGTATCTGACCTCCATCCCTGGGGCCTGCACAGGCGGCTGGGGGAGGAGGTGACGGCCATGATGACAGCATGGGGTGAACCTTATCTATCACAGAATCAGAGAATCATTCTGGTTGGAAGAGACCTTTAACATCCTCAAGTCCAACTGTTACCCCAGCACTGCCAAGGCCACCACTAAACCATGTCCCTCAGCACCACAGCTACATGGCTTTGAAATCCCTCCAGGGATGGGGACTCCACCACTGCCCTGGGCAGCCTGGGCCAGGGCCTGACAGCCCTTGCCAGCAGGAAATTGTTCCCAAAGCCCAATCTAAACCTTCCCCTGGCACAACTTGAGGCTGTTTCCTCTTGTCTTATCATTTGTTCCTTGAGAGAAGAGACCAACCCCCCCGGCTCCAACCTCCTTTCAGGCACTTGCAGAGAGTGAGAAGGTCTCCCCTCAGGCTCCTTTTCTCCAGGCTGAACACCCCCAGTTCCCTCAGCTGCTCCTCATCACACTTGTGCTCCAGACCCTTCCCCAGCTCCTTTGCCTTTCTCTGGACACGCTCCAGACCCTCAATGTCCTTCTTGCAGTGAAGGGTCCAGAACTGGGGTGATGATTTGGACCCAATGACCTGCAGGTTTCAGTGGTCTTGTGCCTCCTGGCTTCATGTCAGGGAATTATGCTAAAATAAGTTTCTGAATTTGCAGTGTCATGCCTGGGTGGGATGAACCAGAAACTTGGGTATCAGCTTTACCCCACACCAGAGGATGCTTGTATATGTGGTGGTACAGCAAGGACCTTGTGCAGGTGTTGAGTTTCCTCCAGGGATTCCACAGTGGGGGCTGTACCCTAACCTGCCCCCTTCTCCCCTCGTCCCGTGGGGACGTGGTTTTCAGCCACCCAGGCCTGGTTTTGTGCCTGAACATGATGCTCCAGGCTCAGCCCTGTAAGCTCCCTGCCAAGGGCACCTTAGCAAGGCAACAGCATGAAATCAACTTCTGAAACATGGAGCTGTTGGAACGAGTCCAGAGGAGGCCATGGAGATGATGTGAGGGCTGGAGCAGCTCTGCTCTGGAGACAGGCTGGGAGAGTTGGGGTTGTTCAGCCTGGAGAAGAGAAGGCTCCAGGGAGACCTTAGAGCACCTTCCAGGACCTGAAGGGGCTACAGGAAAGCTGGGGAGGGACTTTTGACAAGGGCAGGGAGTGATGGGATGAGAGGGAATGGTTTCAATCTGAAAGGTAGATAGAGATGAGATCTTAGGAGGCAATCCTTTGCTGTGAGGGCGGTGAGACCCTGGCCCAGGTTTCCCAGAGCAGCTGTGGCTGCCCCATCCCTGGAAGTGTTGAAGGACAGGTTGGATGGGGCTTGGAGCAACCTGATCTAATGGGAGGTGTCCCTGCCATGGCAGAGGGGTTGGGACTGGATGAGCTTTAAGGTCCTTTCCAATCCAAATGACCTGATGATTCTCTAAGTAGCTCCCTGAGGTTGGCCAGCCATTGCCTCACCATCCCACCCCCCCCTGCAGGGCTGTGCCATGGCGTGCAGAGCTGACCTGTCAGCTGAGGCTCCCGTGTACCCAGGGAACGGGCACCTCCAGCCCCTCTCCGAGAGCATCCGCAAGTACGTCATGAGCCACTTCCGCTGGAACAAGTTTGGTCGGAGGAACAGCAGCAGCGGGGGGCACAAGCGGGAGGAGGGGACGGGGAGCAACCCACCGCTGGCATCATTCCCTGCCATCCCACCATCCCACCACGAGGAAGAGCAAGGAACCGGGCTAGAGCGGGAGGAAGGCAAACGCTCCTACTCCATGGAGCATTTCCGCTGGGGAAAGCCAGTGGGACGCAAGAGGAGGCCTGTCAAGGTCTACCCCAATGGGGTGGAGGAGGAATCGGCAGAGAGCTACCCGCTGGAATTCCGGAGGGAGCTGGCTGAGGAGGAGGAGGAGGAGGACCAGGAGGAGGAGAGGGCTGGTGGCTCCTACCGCATGCGGCACTTCCGCTGGCACGCGCCCTTGAAGGACAAGCGCTAACCCGCTGGAATTCCGGAGGGAGCTGGCTGAGGAGGAGGAGGAGGAGGACCAGGAGGAGGAGAGGGCTGGTGGCTCCTACCGCATGCGGCACTTCCGCTGGCACGCGCCCTTGAAGGACAAGCGCTACGGGGGCTTCATGCCCTCGGACCACAGCCAGACCCCTCTAGTGACTCTCTTAAAAAATGCCATCATCAAAAGCGCCTACAAGAAGGGGCAGTGACGGGGGGAGAAGCCCCAGAATCCACCCCCCCCCCCCCCCCCCCCCTTTTCCCTTAGGT